TAATCAGAATGAAAGCCAATATATTTTTCCCTTTTTAGAAAATATATATACGCATATTTTCCCCATAAACCTTGGGCCATAAGGTAATCGAAAAGAGATTTAAATTTAAAAAATTCTTCATTTCAAGAAACTTAAAAAAGCTTCACTCATAAAAACTGCTTTCCACTTCAAGCAAATCAATTTTTTATCTTTTAAATTTTTTCCAGTTTATTAGTAAAAAGTGAATAAAAAATTAAATAATGCAAGTACAAAATCAGAGTAAAATTCTGTCCAGTAAAATGGGCTTGGAGTGATGCGAAAAAGTTATAAAAGTTAAATTCTCATAGCAAAACTTAAAAGTATTTATGAACTTTGCAAACGAGTGAGAAGTACTCGAATAGCAAGTAGAACAGAAGTTTTTAAAAACTTCCTTTGAAAAGTGTATCATAACAAAATTATATGCAGAAAAATCAGTGAAATAACTTTAGAAGAGTATAAAAATGTATTCACTTTGATAGCTTCTGACATCGAAATGGGACAGAAAAAGCTAGTCCATCTCTTTGCAGAAGTTAATAGGTCTATTTTTTAAGATATTCTCAATAAAATAATAATATAAAATATTTTTCAATCCAAATAGATATTAAGAAAATAAAATATTTTATTTTTAATGTTATTTTTTGTTGTCGAAAGTGACGCCATTAATGATGAAAATAAACTAATTAAAAGTTAGAAGGGTACGAATAGAAATAAACAGACAACAACAAAAAATTTAGTCAATTTATTGAAATTTATCTGATCATTTAAGGCAGTTCGAGTATTGCCAAATACTCATCATCAGTGTTCTTAAGTAATATTCAAATTTTTTTTATGGACATTGAGATAACTCTACCTGTTTTTTAAATAAAAAAATGTAAGTCCAAATAATGTTGAAATATTGTTGCATCGAAAGCAATAGTGCTGACACTATGAACCCACTAAAATCATCTTTCAGGAATGAGTTGAGATGACCTCAGCCATCAGACTTGAAAGTCAGCTGGCTAAAAAGAAGCTTAGTATTTCTGTTTACAAATTTATCTAGGTTATGGGCTCTAATAAACGTTAATTATGTGAAATGATGGACATTGACTAAAGACTGGGACTCCTAAGTAGGAATATACTCTGAGGAATGGGTTACGATATCTGCGATTGTACAGGGAAATTGAGTGAGGAAATAATATTAAAACTATTACAGGTGATGTTCCTTATTTAGAATAAGGTATAAATCTTCATTAGAAAAAAAGTAATGTTCTAATATAGCAATCATAAGCATTCAGCAGCATAGCTCTTCAAGATCTAAAAACGGGATCGTAGCGGTGGCTTGAAAAGTATACTCTTGGATATAGCAGAGGCTTTGACGCCTCTGCTATCAAGTTTAAGCATGACAATACCCCCATTCAGCATGTCATCAAGCTAAAATACCCTTATGTTGACTATGCCATCCGCAATGCGCGCTTTAGGCATACTCAACTAAAAATTGCCTTTCGTAGACAGAACCAGTTCAACTGCAAACTTAAGCTGCAGGTTATTCACCCCTTACTCACATATGTTCTCCCCATTTGGTCTGCAATCTATTCCGCCCCGATGGAAAGGATCCGTCTTATCAAGCGAAAACTCCATTACAATTGCATCAATTACAAGCGCAAGCTCAAGAGCAAGCACTTTTCCTACTCTGCCCTTCTGCACTCAGTCAAAATTACTTGCATTGACGAGTATCTCCTCTCTCATTCGCTCGAAGGCACCTTACGTGGCTAGACAATCTTCCACCTTCCATCTTCCATCTCAGCTCGTAGCACTCTCCCTGCGGACTTAGTCCAGGCCTTACGTCACAAACCCTTTCAATACCTATCCCTTTACCACAATGAGTGGGACTGTGATCTCTCCATGATCCCTATCTTCAACTGTGGCTCTCATGACTCCGGCAACAGAGTCTACCGCTACAACTGTCGCGGTTGCATAATAAGCCCGTCCCCTTCACTAACACCCAATTTCACTCTTTTACGCCCATGCTTTCTGACTTAGATGAACCTAGTCCGCTGGGTATTACGGTAATAATTTTTTGTTAATATTTCAATAATTTTGAAATACCTTTCATTGAGTAAACTTCATAGGAATGCATTATGTTGATTTTAAATATAAATTCATATTTCTCAATTGTAATTATTTTGTCATTAAGCTTCTTCACTGACATGAAAATTTCGTGCTTATCAGATGGCACTTAAAATAATAGATGGCGCTAATAACAGTTGGGTGACAGACAGTTGGGTTAATTGTTTTCAATGTCGCTTTTATATATATATATATTGTCAATTAATTAATATGAATAATTTTATAAAGTTACTCCTGCAAGTTCTATTTTGCTTATTAATTTTTTTTTATAAATATATGTAGTTAATTTTACAAAGCTGCCATAATATGTAAATATGCCGAAACTAGAGAAGTCGTTGTTGATTTTATATTTAACAGTCTATAAAATTATATCATTATAGCACGATGAGTTGAGTACTTTGACAGCATTTAAATAAAAAACTTAACAAAGTTAACATTTTATATTTCACATTTTTTGGATTTTTTTTTTAATGAGTTGCAAGTATGCACCCGTCGAGCATCGGTGAATCC